CTTCTGTATTAGTAATATCTCTATAGTGCACCGGAAACAAAAAACATAACACACAGCAGCTTTTACATCACAAAATAGCTGTCAAACAGCAGTCCCTAAAATCCCAAGTGCTGCATGTTCTGCTCCTCAGCCAAAACCCCTAATTCTTGCAGTGGTGGCTGAAGCCAGAAAGAGAAAACAAATAGGAGCGTTGGCTAACTGGACCACAGCTGAGCCAGCTTCTGCCTTCCTGGAGATCTTGACTCTGCCATGGGAGGAGAGACCTCTCAGCAACCAAATGAAGTTCATCAGCAGGTTTCTTCTCATGACCAGGTCCCTACAGAGTAGGGAATTCTTTAGTCCAGGGCTTGAACTAGTGCCAGTCATTCAAAGAGAGCTCACGAGTGTGAGAAGTGCCGGTAGGGTCATGTCAAATACAGGATCTGAACAGAAAAGTCATGTAGGAATTAGGAAATCCTGTTCAGGGAATTACATACCTGGGAGGGCACTGCAGCCAAGTGTGGAGCACCTAAGGGCAGAGGGGCTGGGCTGCACTCAAAGGGAGCAAGAAGGGGATAGAAATGGTCAGTCTGGTGTGAATGTTTCGGTGCCACCCTGACAGCCTGGGATCAGGACCAGACCCCCTGTCTGCAGCTCTCCAGGGGCCTCTTGCTGCCACAGCTGCTGACATTTTCAGCCGAGGTGCCAGGTCAGCCCTCGACAAGACGTCCCTGGCACAGCCAGACCCTCCTGTGCCGCTGCCTGGATTACCGTGGCCGGGCGCAGGCTGGGGGATGAGTCCTGCTTCTGAGGATGGTTCATGTACAGGAGTGGATCCAGCTCTGCCCAGCAGCCCTGCTCCATGTGATACGTGTTCGTGGGCCATGCCTCACACGTGTGCTCCCGTGGTTGCAGGGACTGTCACCTCTTTTCGTGGCAGTGGCCCTTCCCCCAGGGGAGTCCCCTTTCCCTATGGCTCCAGCATCTCTTAGCCAGGTACCAAGTACTCCCAGTCCGGGCTGGAGGCTGATCCTTAGCCCAGATGGGAGTGAAAGGCTCTTTATTCCCACCTCTCCTTCATATGTTTGTTTGCTCCCTCCCCCAAGTTTTTTCCGGTGCCTTGGGTTTCACACTGCCTGTGCTTTCTGTCTGGTCATGCCATGGTTTTAAACATGAATGGGGTATTTATCTAAATACATCCAAATATATCCCTATGATTCCTTGCGAGTTCTGGGGGCAGTGAGTGATTCAGGATACTTTTCTGACTTGTGCAAGGTAAAAATGATTGCACTGTAATTCAGTGTTGTCCTCCAGGCCAAGCCAAACCGGGAGGGCAAGCCCAGGTTAGTGTCTGGGATTCCTCTGGTCCTTGAAGCCGGGCACTGTGAGTCATGTAGCGCTGCTGTAACGCGTGCTCGCTATGGCCCCTACATGCCTCCACGCTTGGTTTTCCAAAAGGAGCAAAGAGACAAAATTATATTAATAAGAGCCTTGATGCTTAACCAAGTTACAGATCCTGAGGAGAGGTGGGTACTGGTTCTTCTGGAAACTGGCTAAATATGGATGAATATTTTAAATGCTCTATTTATTCAGGCAGTAATGACATGCTGCCTTTTTGGAGAGGTGCATTTTGTCAAAAGCAAGTGTTCTGTTCCCTATTCTTGATGTTGTGTGGTGTGTGGTGGCATTTCCTCCTCCCCTGTACTTTTCTTATTTTGGCTAATTAAACTAGAACAGTCAATTCCAATTCCTTTTTTTTTTTCCATTTTTTTTTTATTTCACTGCTGTGCTGATTTACATCAGTTTATTTAGTGTTTTAAAATGGTTTCTATTTAAATTTGGAAGGGAAGAAAAATAAATCTGCTAAATATATTTCTATTCAGATCATATGTTGTGGCTTTTCTCTTTTTGAAGAATGAGGTCTAATTTTTGAACCTGAATTCACTTGGCACTAGTCTTGGCTTCAGCAACATCGGGTTTCCTTTTGTTTTAGACTAATTCCCTTTTTCCTATTGCTGGGCTACATTTATGTCTCCATGCTAGCAAAGCTTTTATGCATGTGTTTCGTTTGAAAGTGTTCATCTGAGCAAAGTAAAGTATGTGCAGAGTATTTGAGGATGGGGTTTGAAGTGTGTTTTATGGTGGTCCTTGGTGCAACGCTGTGGGCATGAAGCATTCTCCCAGTCCTTACCAGTTACCTGTACACATCCCATTTGAGTACGTCTTTGTGAAAAGATGCAGCCCATCCTTTTGCTTTCTTCTGTCTCTGGCCTTGGGAAGCCAAGGCCTTGTTCTTTTCTGGGTAGAGTGGGGTTTTTTGAGGGCAAGGAAGGGTGCTAAATACTTTCTGCTTTTGGAAGAGATAAAAGGTAGAAAAGAGCAGGAGGATAAGGTGTATTCAACAGCACAGCAATTTCCATGTTTCTTTGAAAAGGTTGTTTGTTTTTTTTTTTTTTTTTTAAATAAGCTAAAGCTTTATCTTAAACACTTAGGCTTGGCTAGAATATGTTTCTCAGTGAGGAATGTGTGACTGAGAAACATGGAAAAAACAGCTGGGGAAAAGATAGGTAAATAAAGATTTTATGTGATTTCTGACAAGCTATATGACTGCCTCTTGTCCCTAAAGTCCCAATCCTCAAAGCTGGTCTGGATGGGTCGTCTGAGTTCCTGGGCTTTCAGAGGTTTTTGGGACAGGTTTGTCTGTGCAAAGGAGTTTCTTACGAGTATCTGTATCGTAACTTAGCTGCACTCTTCTGAAAAGGTTTTCTTGAGGCCAGTGGACTGTGAGGCTGTTAGTTGTCTACCCCAGTCATAACATTGCTTACTTCAAATTTTTTGTTATTGCTACTTCTTCTGAAGCTACAGCTTCATCTGTTATAGCAAGCAAGGAAACAAAATGCAGATACTTCAGAACAAAGATAAGAATAAAATCTTATGCCTATAGAAATTGGGAGATGTAAAACCACAGTCCCGGCAAGCAACCACAACTAAGTCAAATACTTGTATTAAAGGAGAGAAGTCCTTAGAATGCATGGTAATAGATGTCATGTGTACTGGAGATCTGATTTATGGTGGAAACCTTAAATTTTGGCCACATTCTGAGGTCAGTTTTTTGAGTAAAACCTACGGTGCTGAGTCAAGCCAGTGGGTCCTTGAATTTTCTGCTCTGACCGTAACATAGTTCCCCCCTAGCTTCAAGTTCAGGTATGTGGTGGGTCAGTGCTGATCCTACTTGTGTTTTGTTTTTTTTTTTTTCTCATGGGGCGTGTGTAAGTTCAGTGCTCACACCCAGGTTCAAGGTGCTTTAGTTCTGCCTGGTCTTTCCCTCTGTCTTGGGGGATACTGTGGCAAGATATAAAACACCTTTGTGGTGCTAGTCCCTGGGGTGGCTCAGCTTTGATGCTCAGACCTGTGCTGCGTGCTCAGCACATCAGAGGACCTGTCCTTTGCCCTGCAGACCTTGCAGCCTGCCCTCCACCCTGGGGTAGCAGTGCCCATGTAGCTCTTCACCCGCAGTCCTCCCCTCCCTCCTCCAGCTTCAGCCCTGCTCCATCCCTTGCTGGTGGGGTGCCCGGGGTTCCCCCCCCCCCCACCTCCCCATGCCTGCAGAGCAGCTCTGAACCTGCCCCTTGGAGGCTGGATCTCTGCTCATTAGCTGATGTTTGCTGAAACCGGATACCTGGGGCACCCCAGCCAGCGGCGGAGTCCCCTGGCTGCAGCTATTTAAAAGGACAGGGGCAGCCTTATAATTTCCACCTCTTTCACATCCATGTCCCTCCCAGCGCCCCGACCCAACTTCTCTTCTCTCCTGGATCCCTGCAGCATCCATGACCCACGAGTGGAGCGACAGCCCGAGGGGGACCTGCCCGCTACAGTTCTGGGGAAGGATTATCTGTTGAACTTGGGGGAACCTCAGGCTTGCCAGAAAGCCTTGGCTCGCTCGGGCCCATGAGCCTGGCAGCCACTCGCTGGCTCCCAGCGCAGGAGACACCTTGAGACTGAAGGGGAAGACAGGAGGAAGGGGCTTAGGCTTTGTTTGCTTTGTTGTTGTTTTTTTTTTTGTTTTTTTTTTTTTCTTTCTTTCTTTTTTTGCTCTTCTTGCTTTATTGTTTTATAAGAAGTAGAAATTGCCGTAAGCTGCTGGGACAAATGAATGCCAGCGAATGCAGGGCTGCGAGGAGACGGTGCACAGCCTCTCGCCTTGCTGCAAAGTAAGTGCCCAAGGCAGAGACGCTGTGCAAGGGGGAAGGGAGCAGGGCCAAGGGGGCACCCAGGGGTGCAGGGAGGAGGCGGGAGGGCCCGGTGTGGTGGGCTGCCCTCACCTGCGTGAGGGAATCCCACAGAGCTGAGGGGTTTGCTGTGGTGTGGCGTGGACAAGAGGGACCTGCCCGTCACCCTGGGGTGTGCAGGGTGGCCGGGTCCCAGCGCGGTGGGGCTTTGCAAGAGCTGGAAGAGGAGGGGGCCCAGGGATGCAGGTTGTACCCACATGCAAAAGTCCACTCTCCTGGCGGAGCTGGCAAAGTGGACTTGGGATCTGATTTACTTTGGACCTCGTATAAGAAAACTCATTCCCCTCTCCCTGCTCTCCAGGCTGCAGCTTCTATCACTTGGTGCTGGGAGGAGTGTGTGTGGGGGGGGGGTCTGGAGATGCCCCACACCCAATCCCCTGTCCCCCCTCTCTGTGCAAGCAGGGCAGGGCGAGGAGGGGAGCAGAAGCAGGAAGGGGGGTGGGGGGGTGTCCTTCAAGCCCGAGCCCCTTCCACAGGCTCCCAACCGCCTCCACCGAGCGCTGAGCCCAAGGGAAAAGCCGGGTCAGGTACCTTATAACCTGGGTCCTTCTCCAGCCCGTGGATGGGTGGGTCGAAGCCGGTTGGGGCAGAGGGCTCAGGGCCCTGCAGGTGGGTGCCAGTGAGCACCCGTCGCCATGAGCAGCCTCCCCCAGGCCAGGGGCCTGTGCGCTTCCTCCACGGAGCCTGGAAGGGTCTTCCATTGCTTCTCGGCAGCTCTTCTGGCCAAAAGAGTTCCTTTTTTTAATTATTTATTTACTTTGTATTATTTTTTGTAAGTGCTTCAGCATTACAGAGGAGGGCAGCAGAGAGAGGCAGCAGGGACATCCTTAAATAATTTTCATTTCTCAAAATCTGCCTTTTCCTCTTCTCTCTAAGTCCAGAGGAGAGATCCTTGGGGGGGTGGGAGGCACATCTGCACTGCAAATAAAAATAATAATTACAACCACCAACCAAACAACAACAAAAAAAGTAACAGCTAAGAAAAAAACACTTTAAATCAAGGACTTTGGAAATCAGAGATCACAGAAATTGCACTATTAATAAGGAGGAAAAAAAAAAAAAAAAAGAGGCAAGAAATCCAGCGACCATGGGCCAGCCTGACTTCTTAGCGTGTACTTTCTGTTCTCTCTCCTTTTTCCCAAGGTAATTGCAGTCTGCCGAGAGGGAGTTAAATGGGATTAAAAGATCTGTGTAAGCAAAAGGACCCAGAAGAGAAGGAGGAAGGAGTGAGCCGTCCGGGCCAGGGGGTGTCTTTGACACGGCTGAGCCCCTTAGAGAGGCAGAGAGCTGAGCTCCTGGGAAGGATGTACCCACAAACCGACCTGTCCCCCTTTTTCTGATGGATTGCCGCAAAAATTGCCCGAAAGAGACAATGCACTAAACGTGATGGAGCCGGAATCAGAGCCGGTCTCCAGACTCAGAGCTACAGCAGCAGGCAGGGGGTGAGTACAAAGTCCGACTTCTCCCGGCGCCGGGGAAGGGCAATCCCGGGTGGGGATGGGGGTGCCCGGGGAGCCGGGGGATCCCGGGAGGGCAGCGGGAGGGGAGCTCAGCGCCCGGGAGGCTGGGGACGGGGTGGGGGAAGACATTCCTGCTGCCGGGGGATGATGTGAAAACTCCTGGGCTGGAGAGGAGACTGGGCTGGGAGAGAAGGGGGAGGCCACGCTGGAGCAGGAGGGTGGGAATGGGGCTGGGGGTGTGCGGGAAGGGGGTGAGAGCTGGGGGCTCGGGGCCGGGGAGGGCAGGAGGAGCCCCCACCCCCGCTATCCCCACGCACCGGGGAAAGGAGCTCCCAGCTCTGGAAACTGCTCCGGGGGGGGGAGGGGGGGAGCGCTGCTGTTGCACCCACGCGAGATGCAGGCGTGGGCAATCCCACCTCCCCGCTCCCCCTCGCACGCCTCTCCCCCTTCCCGGGCACGGCCAGGGAGGCAGGCTCCCCAGCCCCCCCCGGGAGCCGGCCGGAGGTGCTGCTCCGCGACCCTGTCCCGCGGGGGCGTGGGGGGCACGAGTACCTGGAGATCGGCGCCGCGGTCCTGCGGAGAGTGGGAGAGCCACGGGGGAGGGCTGAGGCAGGGCCGGGGGGGCAGGCGGCTGCCTGGTAGCATGTTCTTCGTGTGTTCCATATACACACGCGCGCACAAATACTTCTTTCCATCTAGATACGTGTGTATCTAAAACACGACAGCACACACCCTGCCCCCGTCCTCTTTCTCACGCGGCTGGGACCAGCTTTTACTATTTTCATTGTTAAAGTTGTTGTTGTTGTTATTATTTTCCCGGGGACGAGTAAAGGGTTAATCCCGCTGGTTGCGTTGTCGGATGTAATGATGATTTACCGACACTCCCTTGGAAAGACTGGGATTCTTCTGCCTGGCAGTTTGAAAAAGTTGTGTACAGGATCCCGCTGCTGCTGCCAGGCTGGGCTGTGGGATGGGGGGAGAGGGTGGAAACTGGGCAAGGGGATTTGGGGGCACCCCCCCCCCCTCATCCCGAGGGTCACCCCGCTCCTGACAGCCGCCCCTTTAGCGCAGCGCTGGAGTCTGGACGTGGATGAATGTGCAGTTTCCTTTGTAGGCTGAGCGCAGCAATCGCTGCCTGCATGTGTCTGTGTGTAAAGTTATGTGGAGAGATCAGAACCGCTCCCAGGGGCTGCAACCAGCTCTCCTTGAAAGGTTTTTCTCTGTGTTTATCTGCTCGCAAGCTTTAGGGTTTGGGTTGTGTTGGTTTTGGTTTGGTTTTTGTTTTGCTTTTGGTTTTGTGTTTTTTTGGTTTGGGTTTTTTTTTTTTTTTTTTGGCGCAGATGTAGCTGTGGTATGCGTAGAGATGCTGGTAACTGCAGCGTCTCCCAGTTGCACCTTTTTAATGCTGGGCATGGTCTGAAGTGAGCTCCCTGCCCAGGACCGTGCAAGGGTGGCTGTATGTCAAAAAGGGGCAAAGTCAAAAGTGGAACAGACAGATAAAGATTCCTTTGAAAGACCGCGAGCAGCGCCGCATCGCAGCGAAGCAAAGGGCCCTGATGCTGGGGAGATACTTGGCAGGGGGCACAGTCGCTGCACGGAGCACCAACTTGTGAGAGTGATGGAGAAGTTGGCTGCAATCACGCTACGGATGAGGACAGAGAGATCCTGCTCGAGTCCCAAGGCAAATTGGACCCTGCTAAGGACAGGGTTAGGAAACAGGGACCCGGGAGAAGGCAGCGTAGCCGCCTGCTCACTGGAGCTCTGTATCAGGTTTTGCATCTCAGTGTCCCAGGCTAGCACTGTGCATGGCTGCACAGGGTTTGAATGTTGCAGTGCCATGGGAAATCTGCACTTTGGTCTTTTCTGGTGACTCTCAATACGTGTGCCTTTTGTTCCCAGGATCTCCTGTGGCTTAAATACCTCACCAGCGTGCTGCTGATCCGTTCCCTCCTCAGCAGAGGTCGCTTGCTACCCTTCACATTATCTCCCGATGGGCTTTTTGGTGCTGGGTTTTGATTTGCTTGGCAGAGTTGAGTGCTGTGCATCCTACCATTCCCACAGCTGGACGTTCCTGTTGAGGCCCTTAGTCTTGGAGAGGGTCCTCTGAGCCCAGAGCTTGTGCCTGGGCTCACCACGCCACCCTTGTGCTGCCGGGTCTTCCTCGGCGTGGGTGAGGGTTGTGCTGCCTGAAGGCGGCTTGTAATGGGAACTTTCTGGTGCTTTCCCACATGGCACTGGGGATCCCGCTTGTCCCAGCCCTCCTGCAGCATCCTCCGGAGCCGGGCTGGTGGCAGGAGACCCAGGGATGGGAGTGGGAGGGCTGGCTCACCGGGGAAGGAGAAGCAGTTGCCGAGTGTGCTGAAGCCTTGTCCTGGCTCCAGCAGCCAAAGCTTGTAAAACCAGAAGAACAGAAAGTTTTACAGGCTCTGCAAGCTTAAAATGCCCCTCTTGATTGTTTCCATTGATGTGTTTTTAGTGAGCGCAGGCTCGCTAAAACCACAGAAGAAGGCTTTGCATTCAGCTGTGCATTGAGCTCGTGCCACGACTGTAGCGCTTGTGCTGCTCAGCTGCGGTTGTGCCGCCTTGGCCCCTGCCAGCCCCAGTGCTGCATGCTGGCTGGGGAGGGGGTTTGCTGGATGCTCCGGGAGGTCTCCGATGGGTGCCTGCTGCTGTCACAGCCCTGTGTTGTCGGTGCAACGCTGCCCTGGGGCTGCCTGGCCCGTGGACTGGCTGAGAAAGCTGCATGGGTGGTGGTACAGCACCTACCCAGCACCACCGCGGTGGGTCAGCCCCCGGGAAGGGCTGCAGGAAGGCACGGCTCCTGTTTTAAGAGGAAAAGGTCCTTGCATGCAAGCAACGGGGACAAATTATGGCACTCCTGGACAAATTCACCAACGGGAGCAATAGGCGAGCAAACGCTCTGTGTGTGTGTGTGTGTGAGGCAATTACACAGCCTCCTGGATCTGTGTCCCAGGAGGGAAGGGCAGTGTCACAGCCAGGGCTATATGCTGAAGTCCAGTGTCCAGGTCCCCCCTCTCCTGCTGCCTCAGTGTGCCTCTCCGAGCAGGTCGTTTTAATAAAGCTCCAGCTCTATTCCCTTTCTGCAATGGGTCAAGAGGGTAAAACCTGCCCTGTTTGAAAACAGTGTTTATGGAGGTTACATTATCGAGCAAGGCTTGCCCAGGTCTTGTGGTGAGGGAGCTGTAGGACATCTGACCAGAGACAGACACAGAGCATGTGGGATTTTTCCCCTTTCTCTTTCTTTGCCAATTTGTAGGGGGCATAAGTAGAAACGATGGACGATTACTGAAGTGCAGATGGAAACAATGGGGAATTCTATACAGCTCTGCCAAACCCCATTCACAAAATGAAGGAATGCAAAGGCATTTGTTGGAAGGACAAAAAAGGAGTTAGATGACAGACCATGCTTAGCACTTCTGTTTGTCGAGGGCTCCAGTTACTAACTGAGAACACAAAGGCAAGGGCTAGTAGTGAGTATTGTCACTTCACACAGCAGAAAAGTTAATAACCCAGACAGACGGATGGTGAGTAAAGAGGAGACCAGGTAATGGGTTGTCAGGAGAGATCTATTGTAGAAGGTTGCTGGGAGGTATCTGGGAGGGTGTTTGAGTCATCAGGGCCATGTCTGTCTCATATCTAGCAGATGAGGAAGCAGGTTGTCACCAGCAGGAGCTCAGAGGAGCTGGTTAGCTCTTGGCCAGCTTTGTGCAATGAATACACAAGTTCTAGCTCCCAATTAGGAGGACAGGGACCAGCGGTTTGCAACCCATCAGCACTCTGTCTGCAGATATCAGCATAAAACCTTGAAAGAACAAGATGTGGGGTGTCTGCAGGAGTGAGGGGTTGGCCACACTGATGCTTCATCTCCACGTTCTGTGTACTGCAGATCTGCATTTCCCTCCTGGAGAAATCCTAAGAGGAGCTATAGGTGCTGGGTGAGCAAATACCAGGCCTTAATGCATCCAGAGCCTGCTTGATGCCTGGCTGGTGTGCAGGTTTTTAGAAGAGCAAAGCTTCTTTGCAGTACTTGAGACTTACTGCTGTACCATTGCCAGGAGCTGAGGTCCCTCCCCTTTGTGAATACTATTCCTCCCTTTCATCAGGCCCTGGTAGGTCGCTCTTTTGCTACCGGGGACCTCCTCTGAAGGAAGCAGCAGCTTTTTCTGGGCCACAATTGGCTTTGACAAATGAGATAGACCTCTACAGGCACAGCACTAGGGGCATTTTCATCCTGAATTAAGATTAGATTTGGCAGAAGCTGTGCCAGAGAAACCCTGGGAATTTCTGGGTTTGCATGCATGTTCAAACTCTGAGGCAGGGTGGAGAAGGTCTGACATTCCTGTTCAGGATCACCCCAAGGATGGGTTGGAGTCTGGCCTGGAGAGTTGCTCATCCTAGGGAGTTTCCCCATCTGGGCTATGGGAGTCTCCAGTAATAATGGTGGGACAATCTTTGAAATCCTCTGCTCTGTACTCTGCTCAGAATGCTGTTCAAGCTCAGGCAGCTGCACTGATGTCCAACTTCATCTTCTCCCCTTATGGCTGCAGGTGCAATGAATTTATAGATGTCATCTGAAAATCTGTTTTAATAAACATGTGCCTAGGAGGAGTGGGTTGGATTCTGGATGTTTTGTGTACTTGATGCAGGATAATATTTTTTGAGAGCTTTTTTGAACATTAAAATCTTAGAGGAGTACTGAATTTCATTTTTCCCCACTTAATATTTCTAGTTTCTAGATCGCTCTTTGATTAGTCAGTATTCTTAAATTACCATGGAATAGTATCTATCTGGGCCATATTTGCTTGTCTGCTTTCTGCTTTTTCTTAACTTTCTGCTTTTTCTTAAAAATGTAGATGCTGAATGGGGGTTAATACCATTTCAGTCACCTCAGAAATTCTCCCCTTAACATTCTGGGTTTTGCAACAATGCCTGAGTACACTCGACAAATATCTTTGACTGGAGGTGAAAATCAATAGCTGGTTTATACTGCAGAAAAGGTCCAGCAAAGGACTAATCAGGGTCAATACAGTGATGTTTACATAACTATATGTTCCCATTGCTCTCTCCAGAAACTGAGGGTGAGAGGAGAAATACCATAGTTTTCAGGAGCCCTGAAAAGAGAGCAGAAGTCTGCTCTGCAAAGGATGATGCTAGTACAAAATAAGATTTCAACCCCAAAAAGTTGGGAGTAGCATTGATGTTATGGTGCAATTTACAGCCTCAGTATGTAGATTGTGATTTTTCCCATTGACTGTGAAAACTGCTCGAGGGTCTTAGAAAATATCACCTCCAGTCACGTGCAAAGGATCTTAAGCAACATAGGCATCTTCTCCTTTTCAGATACACTGTCTGATCTACAGCTAGAAATGTAGATTTGCCTTTCTTGAAAAGCAATTTTCAGCATTCAGCTGGCTTTCTGATCTTTTGGACAGAAAAAATACACCGGAATGGAGGCGGGGGGGAATCGTTTTTCCACCCTGCAAGAATGTTTACAATTTCAAAGACATTTCCTCACTGTAAATGAGGGAGAAAACAAAATAAAACATAAATGCTGCTTTGGGCCCTTGTAATATTTTCTTCAGCTTCAACCCATCATCTAAGTAAACAAGATGTCAAAATCATTTGGACTTCCTTTTTTTAAGGCTGGGGCAAATCTTTTAATTTAAAAAAGCTGAAATTGTTCCAACCAATTCCAGAATTTGTGGAGAATTAGCTGATCACAACTATTTTACAGACTGCTTCAGCTTTGTCAAACTTGCAGTTTTTTGAGGATAATTCCTGACCATGTCTACCCTAGAGGCTCTTGTCTTACTAATGTCTAGTTCAGCATACTGCCCTATGCCAGTGGTTGTTGGGTGTAAGAACTGATACGTTCAACAGGATTTTTTCCTTTACTTTTGCTCTTCAGGTTGCTGCCCAGAATGTGACTTTACTGGGGCTATAACAGCAAGACATGCTGTGCACAAGCCACTCTTTTTTTTTTTTAGTCTCCAAGTCACAACTTGCTGCTCTCAGAAGTCTGATCTTTCAGTGCTCAGTAAGAAGATGGC